ATTTCCTTTTGGGGGGCCTTTGTCCATGTCAGACACCAATGTGCATGTCTATGTAACATTGCCCATGTGCATATGTTTACCTAAATTACTTAATTGATTTTTATTTTAAGTAAATAAACTTCAAATGGCCCTATATTTGTTTGCGTTCAATAAAACGAGGAATTGCTGAATATTCTTATGGTGTGGGTAATGGAGGCCTTACCAATTTTTTGGAGAGATGAAGATGTACGTGACATTTCAAGAACCATTAGATCCAGCTGCATTTACTCATAAGTTACTGTACTTCTCTCTTATGTGGTTATGCGTTTTTCTTATATCATGGATGACACTGTCAAACATTTAATTAAGTTACTGATACGTACAAATTGATGGCATACATTTCACTTCATCAAAATACTTTATATTTGATGGTGTCATGTTTCTTATCATATGTTTCATGAGTTTACACTTTAGTTGCTTTTCTTTTGTTGAGATGCTCTTTATATATTTATTTTCTTGACTTCAATTGTGATACCGACTTTATTTTGAGCAGCATCAGAAGGAAAGATTTGTCTTTTCTACGTCAGTTCACAATTTGGGGATTATTGAACTGTGCCAATGAGGTTTTATGTATCTTCGCTTCAGTATGAACAGCGAGCAAAATGGGGACCAAAGGTGGGGTTAAAGATGCTCGGAAATGTTTTATCGTGAATAAATGTCATTCATCCTTCTAAAAAGCAAGGGAGACCAGTGACCCTTAATTTCTCTCCCATACTTCATCTATTCTTGGTTATTCAACGCTTTGCACACCAATTTTAAGTTGAGATTGTTTATTTAAGATCAATTTACCTTAATGTATATGATGGTTCTGATTCTGGCTGTTTGACTGTCTTACATGTTACTGTTTTTTACCTTTCTTTTTTTTCCCAAAAAAAGGAAAGGAACGGTGGTTTGGAACCCTTGGCGTGATGTTGTGGTTTCAACCACTCTAACCACCAAGCCTAGAGCTGTGCTTTCGTACACATCACATGTCACGTTATTTACAATTTTTTTGCAAAAACCAGTGGCATTTCCAAAACCACCTCTTTAGAGGACATTTCAGAAAATTCATGGAAAAGAGTGTCATTTCCAAAACTACCTTATCTTCAAACCACCCCCTTCACACGCATCTCTCTTCTCTATTGCCACAAACTTTGGTCAGGTGCTTCAGTCCAGGGGCATTTCAGATACTTCCTAAACAACAAGGGCATTTCCAAAGGTGTCCCTTTTCGAAATTCAAACTGAAAATGACTAGCCGTTGGGATCTCCCACCACTAAAATATTTGATTCAAACTAGAAAAGCTCCCACTGTGATCTCCCTCCAAATATCTCCCCCACACGGAAGTCCTCTTGGCCAAAGGACATTTTAGATACTTCCAAGAAAACTCCGGGCATTTCTAGAACTGACCCTTCACAGTTTTCAAACCCAAAGTAACTAGCCGTTGGGTTCTCCCTCCAATGGTAGTCAACCGTTGCCTTGACCTTCTCCACCATTGCTGCCACCCCAAACAACTCCACCAAGCCCATGCCCACCTCCTTATCTCAGGGCTACTCTCTCTTCCTCACCTTCTTAATGCCCTAATTCGCACCTGTGCTCGCCTTGGTCTAGCCCAACATGCCGAAAGGGCCCTCAGCCATGACCCAAATCCTAATGCCTTCCTTTGGACCTCTGCAATCCATGCCCAAGTCTGCTCCAACCTACCTAAACATGCCTTTGTCCTCTTTCAATCAATGCTGGCCCACCAAGCCCGACCCCTTGAATTTACCCTTTCATCTCTGCTAAAGGCCTCTGCCCTAAATTTGGACCCTCGATCGTGCCTGTCCCTCCACACCCATGTTGAGAAATTGGGTTTTGAGTCTTGGATCCTCTTGCAAAATGGGCTCGTTGATGCGTATGCCAAGTGTGGGCGTTTGGATTTGGCTAGAGAAGTGTTTGATGAAATGGATGAAAGAGATTTGGTTTCATGGAATTCCATTATAGCTGGGTACAGTGGTCAAGGGGAGGTAGGGATTGCTCGGAAGCTCTTCGAGGAGATGCCAGAGAGGAATTCAATCTCTTGGACATCTATAATTGGTGGGTATTTGAGGGTTGGAGACTTGGTGGAGGCACGGACTTTGTTTGATCGGATGGGGGAGAGGGACCCAGCATCATGGAGGGTCATGATTGAGGGGTATTTGGCTTATGGAGAGATCGTGGCCGCTCAATATCTATTTGAACTGATGCCCCAAAAGGATATTGGGTCATGGAATCTCATGATTCGTGGGCTTTGTCAGTTTGGAGAGATGTGTCGAGCTCGAGTGCTCTTTGATCAGATGCCTAAGAAGAATGTGGCCTCGTGGACCATGATGGTTGATGGTTTCATGAAGATTGGGGACTTAGGTTCTGCAGTGTTGTTTTTTGAGCAAATGCCTGAAAAGAATTTGATTTCATGGACAGTCATGATCTCTGGTTTTGCACACAATGGCGCACCAATTCAGGCTTTGGATTTGTTTTGGAGATTTGAGCAAATGGGTATTGAACCAGATGAGACCTGCATTTTGGGGGCCATCTCTGCGTGTTCACAGCTTGGAATTCTTGAAACAGGTGAGAAGATCATACAAAAACACATAAATCAAATAGCTAAAACAGAACTTTCTCCTCAGATGGTTACTAGCATGATAGATATGTACGCAAAGTGTGGGGCTGTGGATAAAGCTTATAGAATATTCAAAGAAGCTCGGGATAAAGATGTTGTTTGTTACAGTGCCATGATTACAGCTTTCGCTAACCATGGCAAGGGTGAGGAAGCTCTAGGGTTATTTTATAGGATGTTGGAGAATGGGTTCAGACCAGATGGTGTTACTTTTATGGGCGTTTTGAGTGCTTGTAGTCATTCTGCCCTCATAGAAGAAGGAAAGAAGCAGTTTGAATCTATGAGCAAAGACTATGGCATCAGGCCATCAGAGAGGCACTATGCTTGTATGGTTGATCTTCTTGGTAGAGCTGGTTGCCTTCGTGAAGTTCTGGAGCTTATAGAAACCATGCCTTTTGAGCCTGGTTCGAGTATTTGGGGGGCCATGCTAGCTGCCTGTCGAGTTCATTGCAATGTGGAATTGGCTGAAGTTGCAGCAAAGCATCTCTTTAAGATTGAGCCTGATAACTCAGGGAACTATGTGCTTTTATCCAATGTCTATGCAGCCAAGAACCAATGGGAGAATGTATCTAAATTGAGAGCAATGAGAAGGGAACGGGGAGTGAGGAAAAATCGTGGTTGCAGTTGGATAGAGGTGAACTCTTGTGTTCATGAGTTCATTATGGAAGATAGAAGACACCCAGACTCTAACTCAATCTATGAAGTCTTGGAGGGATTGCTTGGCGAGATGATGCTGATTGGGCATGGGATTGATGATTTAATTTAGTCATTTCAAACTGGAAACAAGACAAACAGAGAGAGATCCAACTGGTCTGATCACACCCCCTTCTCTCACAGAAGAATGAATAAGAGTAAGCTTTACACTTGGATAGAGATTTGGAAACTGCGGTGAATGAACTCATTATGAAAAAGAACCAGGACTCGGGCTTTGAAGATGTGGAGAATTTGCTTGGAGAGATGCAACCATTCGGAAATGAGATTGATGACTTTGTTTGGTATTTCAAACTGGCTACAGTGAGAAACTACATCATACAGACTGCACCAAATGTAACCCTAGTTCATTTTTATTGAGGGGAGTCCACGTTTGCTGATCTCTCTAAGTTTTGTAATCTGAATTGCTAAGGCTTGAAGTTTACAACAAGAGGGGAACCGAACTGTCTGAAACCAAGTGTATTTGCCATTAAAAATTATTGAGGTGAATCTGCATTGCCATTACCTGAACAGTATTCATCTAAAAACCATGAAGCTGAGTATGGAAATTTAATGGGCCTGAGAATTAATTTTCTTTTTCTCTTAATTTTGTTTAGGCAGAATCCATCTCCAAATTTTTGGAGAAAGCTTTGCTTGTGCAAGTTCTGGTGATAGCCCACTAACTTGGAATGGGTTATAAATGTAGTGGCTCAAATATTTGATTGCCCCAAATATGTATTGTACATTTTGAAAGTCCAATTTTAAAGCCATGAAAAGACAAGAAAAAAAAAGAAAAAGAAAAAATGAATGTAATAGGTGGTTGAAAATTGAACTTCCGTCTAACGCTTTTTTTGTTTTTTTGGCGGTTTGAAATTTTGACTTTTGAATTGCACCTACTTTTGAATGGCCCAACATTTAGTGTCTTTTGTGTGTGTTATAGGTGTTTCTAAAGTCCAACTTTTGAATTACTTAAATATATCTTTGTTGTATTTTTGGCGGTTTGAGAGTTGAACTTTCCAAGTGCCACTTTTGAATTACCTAAATATATCATTTTTTAACATTTTGGCTGGTTAACTTATAAGTGCAATTAGTATCTATGGTTGAAAATATGTATCATCGGCTACTAATGCAATTTATTTCCCTTATAAATTTCTCTCTTAAGAGAGAGCTGCCAGGCAAGCTGAAAAGCCTGTTCCAGTGATGGGGTAATACCATCTCAATGCCTATCTTTTCTCCATATGTTTTCTTGGGGAAAAGTTTATATGAGGTGTCAACATTTTACTATAGAAATAAGGCGCACCTCAAAATCTTAGTAGAAAAGGCTGTCCTAATGCTATGTAAAAAAAAAGATTTCAAGTCCTCGAACAGTGTATCTTGTAATGTATTATCAAGATCGTCTATTTTTAAAATTTTCAAGTGTTTATAGATATGCTTAATCTGTAAAATATTTAAAGCTTTAAATTTCATACTTAGATATAATTAGATATGAAAACAGATATGAGAACCATAGGGATTTTTAGGACTTAAATAGCATCTTTTGGCATCAATTCATGGTGTGCAAGGCAACAACCTTATACAAACCTCTCCTTTTTCCTTTATTCCTTGAGCTCTCGGACAATCATCACATTATTACTCCTGTCCGATAATTTAAAAACTGGATCGGGCATCAAAAAAACCGTATGAATCGGCGGTCCAGATCGCTATTTTACTGTGAGAAAAAAATAGTGAACCTGTAAAAAAAAGCTCGAACTGGCCAAAAACTGGTTTGAATTGATGGATCTACATTTTTACTATAGCAAATCGCTGGTTCTCTTCTAGATCCAGACGATTTCCTATACATGGTCATAATCGGCACGGGGCGGACCAAGCGATTCCGTATCGATCCGACATTTTTTAAATCACTGCTCTTGTTCACTATTTTCCCGTTAGTTATATAATTCTCCTTTTCTTTGGTGATCTTGAATTTTTTACTGTTCATGGACATTAAGGATTATGGTCAAACCCAAAAATAAAGGGAAATTATTGAACTTCAAAACATTACTTTAATGGGTGAGAGACGTTAAATGAGTGTACCTTGAAAATAGCGCATTTTGAAACTTGGTCGTTCACTCTATGATATCAACTACACCATTCAACTCTAATAATACTTTTATAATCCTCAAATTCCATTTAGAGCTTTGAAAACTTTTCACCAATTGGTAAAAGAGGTTAAAAATTAATCATTAAACATCTTGTGACTTTGGCTCCTTGCCCCTCTGTTTTATCAATCAACGTGCATTGATTTTACTCTTGCCCCACAAGTCTTGCATTGGCAGTACAAGCAAATTGAGCTAGATGTTCAATGTTATCCTCAGGGAATCAATCAGGACCGTCCATTCATATGCTATGCCATGCATAATGCCTACCCACCAACATGGGCATAGGCAGTTTGGGCCCTCATCATAACCATTGGCAGTATAAGTCCTTCTCATGCTAGCATCACCATGGGCACTTGGGTTCCTCTGACCCAGTGTTTCAAAAATCACTTGTCCGACTCGGAAATCGTACGAATCTGATTGGAAAATCGAATTGAACTCCTACTGAGTCGGTGCCTGATTCCGATTTTAGAAAACTGTTGTTTGCCATGTAGCATGGATCACAGTTTAGGACATGCATGCTAAGATTTTTTGAAGTCATGCTCATGTGTTTCAATGGTCTCCACATCAATGCCCATGCTACGTCGGCAAAGTCCGTGCTACAGAACACACCATTAGAAGCCACATGTTCTACGATGGTGGTTGGGGTCACATAGGGCCCAAGGGTTTGAGATTAAGGGATCAAATAAACACGAAAGGACATAGACTGGCCCAGTTCTTTTAGCTTCTTGTCCTCTTTCCCTAAATGTGGTTCTCTTCTTCCTCATGTTTATTATCATAATTCAAGTTGAGATAAATCCAGCAAGGAGCCATCTTTTCTGACCAATTGATTTACTTTTTAGAAAAAACAAAGAAGAAAAGAGCAGTCTACAATTGGACTGTTGACCTTGGGTACGAAGAGGTAACGTTTACCCTTAACCGTTAGATGTAAAATTGGGTGGCTCAGATTGTTCCATTGATGATGTTCAAAATCTAAAATAGCTTTTTTAGACGCTGTGACATGCTCCTTCTGTACCAAAACTATGTGGTCTTGTAGTATAATCTGAATCGGTCTAAACCTATTTAGTTTGTGGGGAAGGTGTTTTGCTTGTTCTAGCTCAGGATCATAAACTAGTCAAGAAAGTGCTCAGTTTCATATGTAGTGTACATGTTTTTGTCAAAGGACATGCATGAAATCTGAATAATTTGTTTAATCGAAGGAAATGCCAGGGTTGAGGAAATACTTTGAAAAGCTCTAGAATATCTGAGATTTTTGTGGTCGAGCTCAATAGTCTCTCGCTTCAAGTTTTTTCTTTTCATCTCAGCCAATCGTTTCAGCTTTGCCAAGCATGCCTACCCAATTTGAAAATAACTACTAAGATTCCAGCTAACCCAATAACTGGTTTATAGCTGGTCCCTACACTTAAATGTCTTTAGATGAATGCTTGCATTGTTTTGAAGCAGTTGTTGTCATGTAACTCTGTTTTTTACTGCAATGGCTAGTTGGCTTGGCCCCCTTTCTACTCGAATGGGTCATGGGACATTAAATTGGTAGTTCAATGTCTCATTTTTATTGGCTCCATTGTTGATGGCAACTACTCCTAGGACCACTTATAATCCTTTCTTTGTTAAGCCATAGGGCATAGGGAAATCATTGCATTCCTTGGCTTCACCACTGAGAAATCTCAAGAAAATGGTGTACAATATAATCCAAGATGGTTGAAAGCTAACCATCAAACCATAAAATCGATAAATAAACGGACTTCAATTCATAATTCTTTTGGAATTTGCAGTCACCAAGAATGAAGGATTCAATATTCGTAAACTGGAAAATGATTAAATGAGCCGACTGGCCTATGGCACAGTATGGCTGGTGGCCTGAGATTGAAGGAGAATGTTACAAACGATGCAGATTGTGCTTTAAAAAATTAGGATTTTGAGACAGTAGGGGGTTTGATGGTCTCCAGTGTTTGTGCACATGTCGGTCTCATCCGGGTGATCCAAAAAAAAAAGAAAAAGAAATGATAATTGAATTCACATGGAAAATTTGTGGCGTAATGTATCTGCCCTTCTCCACTGCCCATTTCATCTCTTCCCCTCAGATCTTGGCCAGTCAGCCTATTGCACAGTCAGGGCTCATAGAATCATCTGCCTTATAGACTGGGTGCCCTTTGGGCAGTGTATGGATCAACTCAGTCTACAACTCAGTCCCACCATCCCCAAAAACCATTTCTTTTAGGTAGGCAAGACCTACTGAATTAAAAATAGCAATAAAAAGGATAGACTTTAGAGACAATGGTCAAATTTAGTGTCCTAAGTACCGACGCTAATGTTTTATTTTTGTCTCAAATCCACATGCCAAAGTTGTTCTTTACCCCATTATTCAAGTGTCCCATGATTTCAATGAAGTTTTAGGGGATCTTTCTTGGTAATGATACAAGGTCTTGTTTGTTTTTAGTGCCATTTTGAAATGGAGCCACAAACCCTTTGTGCTGTGTTTTTTAGTTTTTTCACAAATAATGTAGGACACTTCACTACCCCATGGTTGTATAATCTCTAATTTAAAACTCACTTGAAAAGACACCACACCAAACATGTCTCACTAATCCATTTTTTCTAGCAAGAGTTAAGTGTAACACTAATCACATGAAGCACAATTTGGTTATTTTGACTAAGTGACACGTATTATTTCTCTCTCAAAAGTAGTTCTTTTGTGGTCTAGCATTTCTTTTTTTGGGGGGGCATAAAAAGATTTCATCATACCCAACTGGTGGCTACAGAATTTCCAAAGTTATCGGCTTCATCTAGGTATCAAGAAATGGCATTTTTTTTTATTTTATGTGGCTCCCGCTTGAAGTCCTTAAATCTTTCACACTAACATGCATTTGTAGCACCCTTTGCCCCTGTAGTTGTTTTTCTCCTTTGTGATAGACTCACATCAGGCATTAAATTGGTAGGGCTTTAGAGGTATTTATTTCATCTCAAGTTTGGTACACACATCCTCTTAGCCCTAATGACGAAGCCCATGAAAATTTGTTTTTATGAACTTAATGAGTGATGTCTGTCGATGCCATGGATAGCGGTATTTAGCCATTTCATCATCATCATCATTGTCAAAGCCTTTTCCCAACTAAGCCATTTAAAAATGAAAATTATTTTTTTAAAAGTTGGTTTATTTGGTGATGAAAAGGCCATCCACCAACTTTGGGGTTAAACAGATCTTCCTAGGGCATCTTACTAACACCATTTTCTTTTCCCAAAAAATGGACAATCTGTATTCAATGCATTTTTTCTCTCTTCGAAAAGAGGCATTCTTCAGATTTGAATTATTTTTTCATGATCTTCTTTGCCAGTACCAGTAGATCATATTTAGGGTAAAATAAATGCCCCTAAGACCCTCAAAATAGGGAAGGAGGGCAATACAGTTGTGGTCTGCCCTTGGCAAGTCAAAAGGTTATTTCTTCTGTAAAATAGGACCACAAATACTTAGCACATGTCATGATAATTCCACCTTCTGTACTTGTTTTCCCTGAGTAAATCCACATGGCCTCATCTACTATGTATCCATATGTTTGAATTGTCATTCTTCATTGTTGGGTATTTTTGACAACCATTCTTTTGTTATTTTCTGACACATGCAACAACATTGTCAACATTCCTTAATGGACTCTCCAAGTACCCAAGTTTTTCCTGGACCACTAAGCCAGCCATAGTCTTTGGCCTTGTGTTATAGCAGTTTTTTTTTTGCTCAAACACTAAGATTTTGAAATGGACCCTAAATACATGCTGGCTGATCCTCTGAACAACCAAGTTGTCATTCTTAGAGTTCACTGGCTTTATACCCACACTACCCTACACATGCATGGTCCAGGTTTTCACAAGGGGGAAGCTAACAAAACAACCATCCTAGTAACTAGTGATTCTCCAGAGAAAAGTATTTTGTGAGTTGAACCGGTCATGTGTCGGCTCTGGTTTTCAAGGGTTTTTGAACTCAAAACACATCCTTAACGATCACCAAATCCATTCCCACCTCATAATATGAACTTCAAACTCCAAAAAATGTGCAGTTCTTATGAAGTTTAAGAATTAAAGTAAACAATCCAAAAAAATAGTGTAAAATAAAGCAATTTTAAGGCTAACAACTCACCTTTTTTCTCTTTTTCAAATTCATGATTATGGTGATTGAGTTGATAGACTCGTAGAACTTTAGATCCATCTCCAAGATAAGTTTTGGAAGGGTGGACTCACTATAACAGGTGCATCCTTGGAAGCACCAGAACCTTACCCATCATGCAATCCCTGGCCAACAAAGTCCTTTTATTCACTGGTTTAAGTCATTGGATCCAACAACTCTTTGTTGTTCTCAAGGAGAAAGCTTACTTCTTTGATACATTCTAGTGTAACAGCATACCATTCCAAAAAAAAGCGTCTAAGAATTGTAAAACATGGCCATGAAACAAAACAAGAACAAGAAGGAAGATTAGAGCTACTTGGAAGATGCTTTTCAATTGGATGGAACACTTGTAGGTAGGTAGGTACCATCAATGTTATAACTACTGCACTTCTTGGCCAGTAATTTTCTTAAAAAGAGAAAAAAGTGTTCGTTGGCATGAAGCTATTTTCTTCATTCATGAAATATCAGTGGTCATTGATTTTTTCAATGGGGAAATAGCTTTCAATAGTTATTTAGTTTTTTCATTTACATCGTTTTATTGGATGGAAAACCTGATTTCTTGCATGTAATCTCAATGAAAATAATTATTTCAAACAAATTAAATGGGAAGGGATACTTAATAGAACTAGGCATATTCATTAGGAGAAAACTCTTGCATGTTACTAATGCTGAGGGGCCCTTGTGCTATATTTTCTCTTTGATTTTTATACATTTATTTTCCTTGAGTGGATGTACTCTGAACTTTGATGAAACTAGATGAATACACCAAATTTGAATATTCGGAGAATACCATTAAAAATGCCAAACTACCTCAAGATATCATTAAGGTGTTCCAGTCAATCAATTTACCAACGTAGTTAGGTTAATACGTTCATATTCATTTATGCATCTACTCAAGTAATCTGTTCGAAAAAGTATCTAGGATCTTCTTGCAGTATTTGGAATCTTCAAAGGTCATGGTGACTAACACTAGGGCCAAATGATCAAAACACCGGTGGATGTTCTGCATTTCGGACTTAGAACAAGATATTATAATGACAAAACACATGTTTTGGGTTTAGAACATTAAAAAAGGAGTAGTTTCATTTTTTGCCTTAGGCCACTTGAGCCAAATGACATAAATATTGTTGCCTATTTTATGACCTAGAACAAGATATCTTAATAAAAAAACATTTTTTAGATTTTTAAATGTGAAACAAGAAAAAATATTTAGGTAATTTATCTTGGGTCACTTAGGCGCGGTGCAATTACCGAAGTACTTGTTCAATATCCCACTTCCAAAACATGGGCATTATATATATATAGTTGAGGTGGTGCTTGAGTAGATTAATCTCTTAAAATTAACCATGTTATTGATAAAGTAGTTGTCGGCAAATTAGTTGATTTGACTACCTCATTGACTTTTGAGGCAACCATTTTAATGATATTATCCTCAAATTATTATAGGAAAATTAGAAACTTAAAAGGAAAACTGCCTGAGGTTGTAATTTTGTATTCGAAGGTAGTCCTCATTTCTCATTTCTTTTCCTCTCAACAATGATCTTGAGTAATTAAAACATGGTATTAGAGCAGGTAATGCAAACGTGGTCATTTTGAACTACCTAACCCCTACCAAAACTTGGGTTCCAATCACTTGCACTGCTAAATAGTGTTTCTTAGCATTGGATATGTAGATATGGTGTGGATTTACATGTTTTCCGATGGTTTTAACCAAATCCAAATACTTCACTGTGAAATGGATCCTTACTGTGGGCTCAAGGGCATTAGTTCTGGAATATTGCATCCTGATCTGGGCCTCCCCGTTTTCTTTTTTTTTTATTATCCTTTACATGGAAAACAAGCATGGTATGGAGTATGTACCAAGGCTGTTTACCACAATAATAATAATAATAGTATTTTTGTGAGATCCCATCACCACCGTGGATCATGTGCCATTATAATTGAGAACCATCACTGTAAGAAGGAAAAAGAGAAAAATAATTGCTATGTAAGAAGGAAAAAGAGAAAAATAATTGAGGTCCAGAAGGCATTGTTTAGAATCAAGCTGCAACTGCTCAAAGACATTAATGTGGTCAGGACACAATTAAGCTAAAACAGTGGACCACATCATGTGAGCATTTAGATTCTACTTGACTTTCTAAACTACAATTATCATATGATTCCCATATCCAAAAAACTTTGTGCCAATATAGCCAATTTATATCTTGGAAAGGAACTTTTCCTTCTATACAATTGGGTAACAAGCACTATGCCTATATTTTTATATTTGGCTTTGTCCTATTATTTATTACAAACACTAACATGCATGGGCCCAAAGCAGCCCTTGTTAAGACTTTCATAGTTCATGAAACAAGAAAGAAAAACTCTCCCTTCAAGCCCTTTCAAATCTTCATTTCCTTTCATTATTTTCTTTTTTCTTTGTCTCTCTTGCTTTTTTATATCAGTGGGACAAAAAAAAAAGAAACCCAGATCTTTCACCACTTGAAGAACCCAAGCTGAAGGTGTTTTCTCAATGTATTTTCCAAAATCCTTAGCATTCACATGGCTGGCTTTAGATGTCTCAATCAATAGGATGAAATGTGTGAAGCATTGGATCCCAAGCCAATGGCATCTGACCCTTTCATGATCCTTAGCCTTTTGCAAGAGAAGATAAACATCCTGAGATTACAAAAAAGAAAGAAAATAATCAATTATCTTCCTATAAAAAAATGATAAAAAGAAGAAATATATGGAAAAGAACATGGAAAACACCCAGTAAAAAAAAAAAAAAGGATAAAAAGAAGAGAAGAATAACATGGAAAGCCAAATACTTACTCCCATGGAACATCTCCAACCAACATCCAGTCCCCATCTTTATCTTCATAGGTGGGCACATACTCTGAGGTCTTAGAGCCTTCCTTCTTTGCAAAATCACCTTAATGCACACAAAGCTGGTTAAGCAGAACAAATTACAAAAAAAAAGGTAAGAAAATAATAATTTTTATCTTATGATATCTACAGATGGCTCCCTTTAATACCTATTGTGAAGCAGCTGAACATGTTCTCCAAGGCTTTGAGAAGATCTTGGTATCCCTTGTAATTCTTGAGGTCAATCTTTCTCAAGTAAGGGGCTCCATCCATGCTCACTTTCACATAGAACCCGGGAGCCTCGGGCTCGGTTTTTTTCATCGAATTTGTGACATGCAAATTATTCTTCCTGTAGGAGGATCTGACCGGCGGCCATCCCACTACTTGTGCCCTGAAAGACGAGAATTCACCACGACTAAGAAAAGCTTTCTTCACATCCATCAATTCCTTTATACAAAAACATGAGTGTTTTTCTTTATCTAAGTTTATAAGATCCAAGAATGGGGCTAAGGTTGCGGTGGTAATACCCTACGCCCTTGTCACCAAGTTGTTGTGGCTTCTACTTGAAAACTATTTGAAAAAATTAATTCATAAACTATTTGAAAAAACGGCAGTGCCCTCCCCGTTGAATTACAAAAAAAAAAAAAACTTATAAGATCCAATATATACGTCAAGATCTAGCCTATCTTCAGATCTAGCATAGCATAAATATTTTGAACTGTGTTTGATCTCCTCGAAGTTATTTATAGAGGCAGAGAGAGATAAAGCATTTTCTTCCATAGAAAGCTAGGAGCAAGACCAGATCTGGCAAACTTACTTGGCTACAGGTGCTCCTTCCCTCTCGATCTGGGCGGTGCAATTTGGAGATGGCTTTGATCTAACATCGTCCGTGGTATCGGAGAACACCCTCTTGCTTCCCTTCTGAGTCAAACTCGACGAGTCATCGCAACCCGGCAAGCCCAGCCTGAGCTCAGTTTCCTCAAAATTAAGGTCCTTCTCATAACTTCTTGCCTTCTCCATCTCTCTATCAACTCCCAAAGCCTCCCAGGTTTTGCGGAAAAACTTCTCCCTTATTCAGGCAAATTTCTCACTTTTCCGGCGAGTTATCCCTTTGTTCCGGTGTTCAAATGGTACTTGTGGACTTAGGTCGATGAAGATGGGATAAGTTATATAGATGAGGAAGGGAAGGGACACGATATTGGCCTTTCTAATTCAATAATTCAAGCCCTTTGGCGACACTTTGGGCAACACCGACAGCTAAGGGCGGGAACTTGTCGGTCACATGAGGGACACGGCGAACCGCCCGCTTAATTGGGCTCCGACGATCCGACGGTCCAGATTGGCCCGAGAGAAACTAGGGGCCGTCGGATCACGAGGCCGACACCCCATGTGAGCGGCCCCACCTGCCGTTACCCCGCTGCCTCACCTATGCGGCCATGGTGGTGATGATGCCATAGTGCATGGCCATGGCTTGATGTACTTATGGTGATGATGTCGACATGGGCCAGAGGGCTGTGTGATGTGATGCCATGTGCACGTGGGGTGATGGCAAGGGACATGAGCTGCATGGCCATGGGGCCATGGCCCTTTATGGGGATGGTACGATGATGATGACGATGTGTTACATGTGTCAAAGTAGGGTCATGTGGAGCATGTGGGGCCATGCGATACCGTAGTTGGAACGGAACCCTAAATAGTGCTTCTTTATTCTCGAAAGGATGAAATTTCTTTTAAGGCCTAGGCTTTATGAATACACAACAAAGCCTCATCTCAAATCCTTGGTCCTTAAATTACTTTCGGCGACACAAATCTCTATGATGGCTTTAAAAATTAATTTATAACATTGTCAATAAAAATTGGGACTAAAAAAGTGATACTGATCTTACAGATTTTGAACATTTAATTTTTAGAGCAAAATGAACGATCTAGACAATTTGTTATAATGTACATTCTTTTTAGGGCTTAAATCCCATTTTTTTTCTTAATCATAATACTCAAATCGAAATGATTGATGTAAGGACTTTTCATTGCTTGAATTACAGTTTTGGATAAATTATAAGGTGAAGCTTTGCTTATTTTAATAGAATTGAAGCCCTACCAAGCCATTTTTCTTTTTGAAAAGGGTGTGGTTTCTATAAGGTCGCAACCTTAAACAATCCAATTAGGGCCTACTTCCAAATTATATTATAACATGTAATTAGTTGAAAAATATTGTTAGGATTATTTCAAAATCTATTTTCATATCTAATTATAAAATTTTAAACTTCAAAAATAGTTTAAATCAAGTAGATCTATAAACATATGAAAATCTTGATAATGGACGGTCTAGATAATCTATTGAAAGATGCACTATTTTTAGGACTCAACTTTTTTTTTTTTTCATATTCATGCATCTAAATGTCGAGATGATCAATTAAAGGTTTTTTCAACATTTAAACAACATTTTTCGATAAAGCTTCTAGGCTATCTGTAATTTTACATTTTAAAGTTAGAATTTTATATAAACTTTTTCCTTTCCAAAACGGTGTATTGGGCTTTTATTATTGCCAAAATTGATCCTTATACGATGCCATTGCTTTCTTTTCCTACTTATATTTTTGGGTCATAGTTTTCCATTCCTTTACGGAATATTGATTTCATATAAAGGGGGAGACAATCTCTTTTGGAGCTTTTTCTCAACAACTTTGCTTTCTTCAAATTAATTCTTTGCTAATTACAAAAAGACAGAAGTACTCTTGATCTTTATTCCATATGTTCTCATTTCACCTAACCATTGAAAAAAAATGAAACAAAAATTTAGTGTGTTTCAAGATTGGAAAATTACCTTGATCACCATGGCAAATCACATGTCAGAGATCAAAGTGGAAATTGCCTAATTTCGTCAGTTTCAAAAGTTGTTGCAAGCATTTTTTTTTTTTATCCAAATAGAGGCTCAGTTGAATATTCGTCAGTAATCTTTTAGGGGCTGTTTGGATAACTGGGAATATATTGTCTGTCAAATATATTATTGGCGTAATGCTTTACTTATAAATGGATTGTTACTGTTTAGGTAGTATTTAGATGCGACCTAGGAAATACATTGTTATTGTTTGGCTATGTCTGGAAGAAATATAGGAAATGCATTACCAACATTTTACTAGCATGTACGGATAAACTATCATTTCTTTTTTTTTTATCACAAAATTCCACTAAAATGTCGAATTATCATTTTCTTCTTTTTTGACACAAAATTCGACTAAAATACTCAAGTAAAATCATAATCACACCATTCCAAAAAGATTTCTAATAATAATATTATCACCATTCCAAAAAAAATTTCTAATAATAACTTGTACCATTTTACAGTCATGACACTATTTCCTACTTATTTTAAGTGCCTTTGGCACTTATATGCAATCACATGTTTTCTAACATGACATTGGTTTCAACATGATAAGACATTGCAACAATATGATTGGAATAGCATGATTTTATTATGATGAGCTTTATTGTTATTTATTTATTATAGAAGTCTTTCGAATGTCTCTCTATATAATTTCAAATAAACAATAAATTTATGATACTAAATTCAAAATCTATAGGGTACGAGTTAGAAAATGGGAAAAGCTTAATTAGTAAACTAGAAGGTTTGGTAATTGCAGTATAAAATTTTGAGGTATTGGAAGAGATATGTTATTTCAATTGAGATTTTAGTAATATCTTATGAGGATTGTGTTGCGTGAAATTTTTTATTATGATTGTGTTGTGTAATCTATCATTGATTACAGATTTTTATTTTTATTATTTTTGTTTTTGTATGACACTAATGATGGGGGACAAGCTTAAAAAGGGAGGGATCACATTATGTTGAGGGAAATTTTTTATTATGATTGTGTTGTGTAATTTATCATTGATTACTGATTTTTATTGTTATTATTTTTGTTTTTATATGACAATTAATGCCTTCAAATAAGGGGACGAGCTTAAAAAGGGAGGGATCACCTTGTTCTTATGTAGAGAAAGGGTTAAGAAGATTTTTTTAATCAGGGATATGATAGGTAAAAAAAAAGTACCAAACATTTCCCAAAATTACTCTTCACTCTCATAATAGATTTTTCACCTATTACCGCGAGTAATGGATTTCCTGATTTTTTGAAAAATCTGGTGTAATATCTTTCCATTTCCTTATTATTACGTGTACCCAAACGGTAAAAATGTCATATTTTCTTGTAATCTATTGTCACAATTGTCACAATAGAAATGTCATATTTTCTTGTAATCTATTGTCGCATAATAGATTTATAGGTATCCAAACTGCCCCTTAAAGTAATAGATGCCAAGATTATAATAGGCATTATACTTGCCATAGCCAGGACTCGCCTTGGCCAAGGGGCTTTGGGAGTTACTCGACCGAGTCCCTGGATGGGGCCAAAAGGCCACAAAAAAAGAATTTAAAAACATAAAAAAAAATAAAAATAAAAAATAGTAAAAGTAAAATGTAATCTAAAACAACGTCAAGAAGTTAAATCTATCTTAAAAAAAGTGGATTTAAAAAAGGAAAAAGTTTATATAGAGCTGAGGCTCTAAACAATCAAATTAGAGCCCACAGCAAAAATTTCAATAGAAAAGGTTATTTTGATGCCCAAATATCCTCAAATTGATCATCTCAACCTCAAAATGCATGGACATGAGAAAAAAATGTATTTCAAGTTTTGAAAATAGTGCATATTGTAACATATTTTTGGACCATCAATTTTCAAGATTTTCAAGTTTTCATAGTTATGCTCGATCTACACTATTTTTTAAGCTTTAAATTTTATAATTAAAGATGAAATATATTTTAAGTCTATCACAAAGATTTCCAGTATTGAAACCACATTTCTCGACACTATTTGAAGGTGCGCTTTACTTTAATATTGTAGAGCCTCCGTTCTATGCAAACGATACCCTTTTTTTAAAAAAAAATTATAATTTAGGACATTTTAAAATATTTTTTAAGGAAAATTATAGATACCCCTAATTTCAACTTTCCACACATCCTACCCCCATTACTTTTTGTATTATATGCTAAACCCCAACATTATTTTTTATATCTGCCCCCTAGTCAAATAGTCTATGAGTTTTAGGATCAAAATACCATTTGTTCTCTCTCTTCACCTTTTGAAAAGAATGGTCACATGCTACCAATTTGTCTAAAAATGCACTCTCTACCTCTCTCTCTCGACCATCTCTCTCTTTACCCTCGTACTCTCTCATATTCTCTCTCTATCCATTCTCTCTCTTTCTCTCTCTACCCACCATCACTCCCAGTCTTTCTCTACACCAAATGATACAAGGCTTGAAAATATGGTCCGACACAATTGGTGTTGCACTTAAATTTTTTTTGCGGTCCAACACAAAAACGTGGCGAACCGCAAAAAAAAGTTCGCTCCAGCAGAAAGTATGTCGGATCGCATTTTTTAGCCATAAAACTTCTAGAAAGTTTTTTTTGCAGTCTAGCACAAACTGTGTTGGGCCGGTAACTTTCCAGAAGTTGTATGGTTGGAAAATGCGGTTCGACACAAAATGTGCTAGACCGCAAAAAATTTTTTGGTAAAGCACAAAGTGTGTTGGATCGGTAACTTTCTAGAAGTTTTATGGCTATAAAATGCGGTCAGACACAAAATGTGCTAGATGGCAAAAAATTATTTTTAGTAAGTATTGATAGAGATAATATAAAATAATAAAGTTTAAAAGAGAAGAGATAGAAAAAAGGGTATTTTGGTCAAAAAATAATTTGATTATTTGACTGGGAGGTATATACAAGAATAAATAGTATTGGGGTTTAAGTTACAGTAGAAAAAGGATTAGGGGTAGAATGTGTAAAAAGTTGAAATTGAGAATACCAATAATTTTCTCGTGTTTTAAAAAAAAAATATAAAATTAGGGATTATAGAAAAAAACAGTAACCAATTTTTTCCAAATGCGTTTTAATCATACTAAAAAACTTTGTATAAAATTTCCACATATGGGTGAGGCGGAGTAACTTGACAGAATCTGCGTGGATTTGGCCGAGTTCCATCACATCGATACTTGCCAATGGAACAGCCATTTTTGCGACAAATTAAATGTGAAATTTAGTGATCTAAAAAAAAGTAGTTTTGGAGAAAATTGAGATATACATAAATGAGTAGCATTGCTAG